GAAAAAAGTGTGCGATTTGACGTGGAATGGCCCATATATACATATATATCATAAGGGCTTTCGGTTGTTTCGTTCATGTCTTTACACTGCTTTTCCAGTTGATTCCACTAGCCTTCTTCAGTATTCGGGTGGAGTTTGGAAAGCTGGTCACGAAGCTGATTTGCCTGAGAAAATCAAACAGAATGTTTGAAGTAAGGTGGGTGCAAAGCTTTCTCTTAGTTTTTTATTCCATTATAGGCTCACCACATATCACTAAAAATGACCCCGTCAGACGAATTTCGTTGATGGGTTAGTGTGCAATAGCAGGTCATCAAAAGTGACTTCGTACTGTGAAGACTACAGTGCTACCAGATTCACGCTCATCAGCACTGAAAACCTGAAAGTATTCTGGTGTGAAGGTGCAGTCTACTTCATTTCATGAAAAAAAAACTACCGTCGGTTTCTAAGACAACGCAAATGTCAACTCTAGGGGCTCAATTCTGATACCCGTCTGATGGGTATATCTCTACAAGGACCAATTCATTGAGCAACAGTGTACGTAAAGCGAATTCTACCCGTACAGGCGTTAAATTTAAGGAAAGCTTGTTTGGCCACAAAAAAAGGACTAGAAGATTAAAAAAAAAGTGTGACGAAAAGTGTTTATGCGACGCTGTTAAGAAAAAAATCCGCTTTTTATCATCATCAAGGCGGCCACAGATACGTTTAATGGGGTCAACCCTTTGGCAGCGATCTATGTAAGTGGTCTTCTAGCATTACTCAAGGTACCATACGTTGAACAGCAGAGCGTATTTAGCAGTGCTGTCATACGTAAAAAGAAAAAGCCACTTGACTTTGTATACCCTAATCTGTTGTGAATAATTGTTCGTTGAACAATCTCGTTCGAGTCCGCCAATTGATTGAGATCGAAAGCCTTTTCATCAAAAGTAAGCGAATTTGTGGAAACGACTTTACACACGACCTTGAGGTCATTTTTGTTCAGAAGCAGTAAAACTGCAAGCACTGCCACAGTAGCAGAAGTACGTTCAGGCCAGCAAGAAATGGCCTCTAGAGGAACTGAACTTGTTGTCTTACAGTTAAAAAGCCGTAGCCACTAGCCACCAGACATTACGCCGTGTGCCGGCGGGATAACGGAGTTATGAAATGTCAAGGATCAAAGCAGACTTCAGCTTGTTATTACGGCAAAGTTCGCAGAGAGTTTACAGAAAGGCCTAGAACTGTTGCAGCTAAATTAGGTGAAGGCTTGTTGGTGGTAAAAACCAAGTTTAGGATGAGAACACTCAACTACGGTAGCCCCTTTGTTACCTTCATCTTAACTCTTGAACCGACAGCTTCATAAGAGAGGATCGTGCTTCATTTTCTGCATTCTTCTGTTTTACATTTATCTTCACCAGGCCTCTTTTTTTATAAGGTCCCCTACTGAATCGAAGAGTTGTTATTTTGGTCTCTCCATGCCTGTCCTATATCAGCCGATGATCACAGTGTTTCGACGGCCGCGCTGTTATCCCAGATCTCACCGACTCTAACTTGGTTCTTATTAATACTTCTAAAACGTCTTACATTTGAGCCACCTTTCTTTGCTCCACTCACCTTTTCTCTTCCGTCACTTTGCTTCTTTTTTATTGTGTTTCTCATTGCTTTGTGACTTATTTGGCGTTCGTGTCCTTCGATTTGCATTTTTATTGCATTCTTATTCTTAAAAACACTGCTCTTTCGGATGTTTGTCCTTAGCACTGCATTCATCTCCTCAAGCATTATATTTTTGCTTAACTTGAAGTCAGTTTGTCTTGCACCGTTCCTTCTGACGTCTGCTTTGACGTTGCAGCTTGTATTTGTTTCTCAACTAAACTTCCAATTACATTGTGATGTTAGTGCCTTGCGTGTACAACGCTTCCTTATTCTGCAAAATTAAATGCGGTATTCAAATGTTTCTTCAAAAAAGAAATGCACATGAAAGACGTAGAAGTCTTGGAAAATACTACGAATTGGAACGGTAAAAGAGTTAAAGAGGATATTCTGTTCTTTGCTCCTGGATTCTATTAGTTTTGCCGTTTTCAATGATGTTTTTTTTCGTTTCTTTTGTGTATCTTTTGTTTTGCGATGTGGTATATCCTTCGCGTAAAAAAGTTTCTGCCTTCCACACAGTGGTTATTAAGCCATTGAACAAATAAATAAGTACAAATATGAAGCTTGAAAAGGCTTTCGTTTTTGCCTCCTAAGGCGTAAAACCGTTTAGAACTCATTGGTGCCTAATATTTTTCATTTGTTTCGCCAACCATTATCGTTTGCAGTTGAACACATTTTAGGTGCCTTACTAATGATTTTTTTCAGTACCGAAAGTGTGACTGATTTCAGACTAACTAAATACTGCTGCGGCTAAAAAGATGCAGAATGGAGATTTTAGACGACCCAATAAAGTGTTGAGGTAAGCGGGTTTTGCTGTTAAAACGTCCAGAAATTAACCGTTGGTCTACTTTGGTCTTCTAACGGTTTTAAATAAAGGTAGTAAGGCTGCTATACTCTAGCATATCATCAAAAGGGACGTCTTTTTTAAGGTAGAAGGATTTTTAGGGATTTAGAATTGTAAGGTGATTTTGGCTTGTTTAGGTACAAACCCATTGATCCGCAGTCACCAATGTCACTTGCCGATGATCCAGTTCCAGAGTATATGAATGTGCTAGGAATGGTTTTCAGCATGTGCGGATTAATGATGAGGGTTTGAAAGCGCTTATTTGACTGGTCTTCATTTCACTATACAATTGAGCGGTTAAACTTGATATCTTACGTGAAGTATAATGCATTATTGAGCAGTTTCTTGTGGGGTACTATTCGGCGATTTTTTTTTAGTTAAAATGGTGTGCCTGGGTCGCTTTATTCTGTTCATGTGTTAGTTTTGCAAACTCGAGATCTTCTGACGACAGTAAGCAGATCATCAGCAGCTTTATGTGAGTCTTTAAAAAAGCGATTTAGTGAGTGTTTTAAAGGAAATGTGTAAAGTTTCGTTAAGTACGAAGTTGTTGTAAAGGGTGGTATGGCAGTAAATGTATTTTCTTTTATTTATTTTTTTTCAAACGTTAAAGGCCGAAATCAGTTGTAGAGAATAAATGCGTTGAGCCCACCAAAGCAGAATTAATAATAATGATATTAGTCAATCTTTTCAATGATGAGTATGATGGCAAAAGTGTCTAACAATAATTTTTTCAGTGTTTTTGGCAAAAAAGTAAACTTCAAATCTTTTAGACAGAGTCTTTGTATCTCTAATTTTGCTGCATTTACTTTGCAAGGCCTCTCATAAGTAAACATTACGTCTTTTCCTATTACTCTAGATACTTATTTGGACCTCCACATTCTGAACATATTAATTTCTTCATCTTCTTCAACATTTCAGACCTTCCGCTTGTTTCTGTTTGTTGCTTTTCGAATCAAAGCACTCCAGGTTTTTTTTACTAATTTATTGCAGCGGTCCTGGTATTCACTGTTATTCTGTACAGAACTATAAGTAGAACCTTCAAAAAAAAATTGTGTTTTTTTGAAATTATGGTTCTTCATCGTGAACAAATTGTGATCTTCAAAGTAGGCGTCTTTTCCTATGGTTTTCAGTATCTTAAGGGTCACTGTTGTTGTGAAAACTTTTGCCGAAATAACATATCAGTCTCAAACCGAGATCGAGTCTTTTGCATACAGTGTGGAGCCATACGTAGGTCCTTCTCTCAAATCCTGCTGTAGCAGTTCATAAAACTTACTACAAGCATCATTATTTTGTAAACCTGTGAAGTGTCTATATGGGGTTCTAGTAGAAGTGGGCTTAAGAAAAAAAGAGACGTTCTTGAAGAATATGCTTACAGAGATGCGATGGATATGCCTCAATTATCGTGAAGCATGCTGTGGGAATTTGACACGTTCAGTTAGGCATTACTTATACTTCTTGGAATTGAAATTTCTTTATTTCCAGGCTATCAGTGTCTGCCATTATGATGAGTTATCTGCAACATCCGCAACCAATTATACCACCATGGGCGAATCTTTTGTGATTATTTTAGTAAAATAATTTCTGTCTTCCTCCATACGATTGAAGTTATGTTTTTTGCTGTAATCGCTAGTTCTCTATGCCTGTTCACACCGTTACTTGTTCCAGCATCTTCTCGTTTGAATCATTATCACAGCGCTTTGTGTTGTTTTCGTTCGCACTGTTTCTTTCGACAAATACAGTTTTCCTGCCCAACCCATGTGTATCTTAGTGTCATATTTTCTTTTCCCCACGGATAACCTTTGTCAGCCAATACATCAAGTAGACTTTTATCCCGTGACCATTCTGTTTCCATAAATTGGGCTACAGATGAATTCAACTTCAGTTTGACCTAAAACCTCCACTTGTTATTGGTATTTCTGTAATTTGTTTTCCTCCTAACCTTTTTGTAAACTTATTTCGTTTTTTTTCACTTTTTTTTTTCTTTAAAGCACTTATTAATTTATTTCGTACACATTAATTTTGAGTAACGCTTTTTCTGGCTGTTAGAAAGAATATCCTAGTTCAGCGTTATTTCTTGGTCGCGAAAATATTCTTGTTCTAGCACACTGTTAGAGCTTTGTCATCAAAAGTAAAAAAAAAGCCTCCCCCGTAGGTTACCCTGTAGGAACCGAAGTTTGCGAAACATTACTAGAATGAATGCTTTTATTACTGCGAGAACTGTTAGGGCAGAGGAAGGACGTTTCATTGAGAAGTGGAGGTTCTGATCAAAATGAGACGTGATCGCACAGGAAATAACTTCTCTGAAATGTCAAAATAGCGGGTAAGTGGGAATTAGATATCATGGTAGCATTTCAGTCAGTTCTATTTTTGTCTTTCCAAGGTGTTCACGTACAGGATATTGTTGAACAAAAAGTGTATGTCCTCGGTCGCAGGGTAGTTCACCCAAATGTTTTTCGGAATTGGAGCATTCCTTAGTTTCTTCAACGACTTTAGTTGGGGTATACATAATGTAAGGGAGACGAGTTCGTATAAGGGGAAGTAAGCACAATTTGCCTTGTCGCGTCATTTCTTATTCAGTAATAAATGAGGCAGGAAGTGCTTCCTTGCCATTCTTTTTACTTGGCACTTGTAGTAGATTCAGTTTTTAAGTGTTTTCCAGAAGTGACTCGAAAGAAGACTAAGAAAAACATCCCTTGATCGCTAGATATGTTTAGGGCCGCGAAATCTTATAGTTTTATTGTCTAATGCTGAATTTTCTAATGGTTAGATAGTGCATGAGACAGCAAACAAGAGGGGAGGGGGGTGGTGGAAATGTACATGTTGGAACTGAATACAGTCTAGTTGAACGTTTGAAAAGAGATTACATATTCCTGAATTTAAAAAGTGCAAAAATTCAAGGAAGCATTAGATACTAACATCAGTGTACAAGAGGCATGAGTCTCTGCCAATTAAAAAAGTAACTGTAGATGGCTGGTTCATGTAACGAAGTGAAACTCTTCAAGTTCAAACTAAAATGATTTAAGAAAGTAATGAAGGTTGTCCAATCGGAAATGAGCGTCAAGTACTATTTTCTTTCTAGACGTAATTAGTACCTATAAGTGCTACTGCAGAAGACAGCAGCTAGGCCTTCTGCGTTCTTCACTAGTAAAAAAGATCCAACTTTTTCAACTAAAAAGGATACAGAGAAGTTGATGATTTGGAATTAAAGACTTGCTGAAACATTTCAAAAACTACGTTAAATAAAGATGAAGAGAAATAACCTTAATACAAGAAACATCATGGAATGGCAATACGAAACTTGCAAATCAAATAACGTTAACAGAGATTATTCACAGACATCTGGAAGCTGAGAACAAAACCATGACAAAACGAAAAAAAGCAGGAGACAGCAGAAGTAGTGTTCAAAAGTGGTCTACAACTGTATCATACTGCTTGTAAACTCAGATTAAGGAAATGAGTGAACAAGACAAAGGAGTACGAAGAAGACTCCTCAGTGCAAAAAATCCAAACCTTCAATGGTAGCAACTCCTGCTCTTCATGTTTACCTTGACAGGCATAAAAATATTCACGCTCAAATCTCCTTCCTTCCTCCCAATGCAGCAACCGACCAGATTTGCTCAATCCAAAAGCCTAAATTCAGCGCACCGAACTATGGCGCCGAACTGTATTCGTTCTTGCGCCGCAAATTTACAAACGCCCCGCGCTTTACAAGATAAACGTCTTTTCAACTTTTTTATGTGCGAGAGAGTGTAAGCAACAAGTTTTGAAAAACCAATTTTCTCTTTCAACCTTCCGATGCTATAAGCAATCAATTGATCTGTACGCGGTTTCTTGCTGCGCGACACTGAAAGACAGCTGAGTCTTGCAGAGGAATGCTAAGAAGTAAGTGTAAAACACGGCTACACGTTAATCATTCATTGAAGACAAACCTCTGTGAAATCCTGATATTGCTGATGAGGAGAAGTGAAGTATTCAGGAGCGAATTTCCCTATAAGCCACAAATGCAAATGAGCTTTAAATCAGAAAGGTAAATTTGCATGCATTTGATAGGACGACAAACCGAAGCATTACCGCAATAGTAGGACAAAAGTTCTCACATTTACCACATGCAAGCCACCGTATCGTTCTTGTTAATAAGCCAGAGCTATCAACAGAGGAAAAATCAAATTTGACCATTCAACAATAGCAGCTTGATATAGAATCTTCAGATAATTCTGTTAACGATATTGACTTTGTCGGCGACATACCGCTTTTTATGCCTTCCCAGCCATCAACTATACGGAGATCACTGCTTTCCAAACGTGCTGTTATTTCTCTTGCAATCATTAAAAATGCTTCCTATAATTTCTTTTAACAGTCTTCGACAATAAACTGAGAAAACTGAAAAAACAGATGATTTTGCTCCATTCAAATAAACTTTCTTCGAGGCCACTTAAAAATTTCTTGTAAGTTTGCTGTACAGCAAACTGCAGCTTTTGTCCTACAAAACCAAAGAGACCACCTCGGAAAGGAATGAATATGGTAACGAATAAATAAGAAATCTGCTTGAAGCTAAAGATATTGATATCCTAATTTTTCTTCCCCCTTCCGTGGTTTGTTACACTCAAAGCTTTAAGCCAGATTATAAAACAGAAAAATTTCTCTCCAAAAAGTTCCTTAGGGATAAAGCTAGACCACGCTGCAGTAAGAAAAAGAAAAGGAGTCGCAATAAATGGCTGTGTTTGGAAGATACAAATTTACAATTTTTTTTTGCTCAAAACAAACTTTTACGACTTCCGTTTTGTTTTATAAGCTATCTCTTACAGCTTCAAGTAACTGTTTACTAGCTTTCTACTTTAACCATGAATTTAAAAGCAAATTTAAAAAAGGCGTTCCAAAAAAACATCCCAGGCAGAAGGTACCAAAACTTTGAGATAGGCATCGGAGGAGGTGAGAGATAACGAGACATGAACGCAAGTTGGCAAATTTTTTTGCACAATTAGCGTAATCTAACCATCCCAAAAGCGCTCACTTAAAATCCCTACTCTGAGTCCATCGCGACAATACTTAGGCGATAACAATTTGCACAGTGAAAACTTATGAAAAAGCAAAGCGACCACAAAAAATCCTATTTTCTTTCCATTTTACACATCTAACACTGACCATGGCTATGATTTGACAAATTATTTCACAAAAAAACTACATTTTCTTATCGCAATTTA